GCTCAAATGTGAGCTTTACAGGGAAGTCTTCCCTGACCTCCCTGCTTTAAATGTAAATGGTGGTCCCCACTCACCCCCCGGTACCCTATTCCCCTCTGTACTATTTATGCTTTTTCTCTGTAGTACTTATCACCTTCTAAATAATTATAATTATTTCTTTTATTCTATTTCTCTAGAATGTACACTCTTATGATTTTTGTCTGTTTTATTAATCACTGAATCCTCAGCACCAAGAACCTGGTGTACCTCAACAGTAGGTGCTGAGAAAGAAAAAGAGGAACGCCTGACAAGCAGAAGCCGGCCTGACACTCACAACCAGGCCATGTTCTCCTCCTATTGGACATAAACAATCACAGAATACCAACAACAGACAGGCTACTCTGCAACTAAGATTAAATGAAACAAAGCAAACCATTTCACGATTTTATCTAAGCACAGACAGAAACAAGTTCCCTGTGTCATCCACAAAGTACCAAACACTTCATCTCTTGGCGAAAATAAGTAACTACTGTTTCTTCACCAATGATTGCTTCATCCTCATTCTAGTCTCCTCTCCTTTCAGATAAGGTTTACTGCTTGATTTCTACCAAATCATAGAAATCGGGGGTACTGCTAACAGCATCCAATCTAGACCAAACCCAACTTTCCTGGATCCTCCCACCAATTACCCAACCAAAGTCCAAATCCTATAATAGGTTCTTTCTAAAGCCTCCTTACAGAGAGAGATGCCATGCATGTGTTCTCCCTCATTAGTAAGTACTAAACCTAATGTGTTCAACTACAGAGGTGTCCCTAGTGGTCTTTAGCAGAAAGGCATTGACAGTGCCCAGAAAATATTTGTTGAAGGAAGGAAGGAAGGAAGGAAGGAAGGAAGGAAGGAAGGAAGGAGGGAGGGAGGGAAGGAGGGAGGGAAAGAAGGAAGGAAGGAAGGAAGGAAGGAAGGAAGGAAGGAAGGAAGGAAGGAAGGATTATCCTATGAATATAATGTTCTTAACCCAACATTCACTGATTAAATACATTGCCGTCTATTCAGTTAAGTATTCTAAATTTAATGGGAGCTCTAAAGCATTTATCTCCACTTTATAAGGTTCACTTAATCAAGTTCTTATTGAAATTTAGTTTTAATCCAGTCTCTCTCCAGAACTGTAGTTAATAAATCTATGAAAAAATTAGACCAAAAGATGCCTGTCCATTTCTTCAGGGTATAAAGGTATCTCGGCCTTTCCTTTATCTGGTATGAATCAACACTGCTTAGAAAGGATATACACCTCCAAAGTAAATGTCACTTCAGGATTGAACTTAGTAGAGCCTGAACACACACACATACACACACACACACGCCACACCCTATTCATTCTATCAGCTTCAGAGCTTAGGTATATTGAACACGGTGCTCTGCAATCAGGATCTACACTCTGATCTTTATGACAATTATAACCTTAGAGAGCTATATGTACACTCAAAGTTTATTTGACGATTAATTATGTGTCTGCTATAAACAATCCTGGAATTACAGTTAATACAATGAAGTAAAGAACCTATTGCCCATTTACTCAAGGAACTGAGAATGTGCATGAGGAGATGTCAGGTTCTAAATCATGATTCAGTGCAAGGATTTCAATTTTCACTTATCCATGAGAAGTGAACACAAAAATAACGACTTAAATTTACCTCATCTATGTCAAAGAAAGTATATTCTCTAAGCTTTAAGGGGAAAATATTACGCTCCTTGTCTCTCCCTAATCCTGCCCTGGCAGATATGTTGGTTCAAGTGCTGACAGCCTGTGCACATGGTCAACCAAACAGATGCCTAAGAATAGCACAGGAAAGGATATACTTGACTAGAGTTAATGACAATCACTGCATTCTTAGGAAAAGGCTCTGGGGGTTGTCTTATCCATAAACAAAGAGCAAACTGGATTTATGTGCTCAATACTTTCAGGACGTTCTCAATACATGCTGGTTGTTTGATTCATTTCAACGGAATAAGGTCACATCAGTGTCCTCTGCATGAAAAGGCACTTATTATCTACCTCCATTGGGTCCTATGCTGTGTTGTAATGCCAAGCAAACAGGTTTTCTGCAACTTGGAAATCTTTGACACTGATCCAGAATGTTGATATAGGACAAGTTAAACAGAGTACAGACAGCTGAGCAAATATTAAAGAAGTCTATGAATTAATAAATAATATTAAAATTTTGTACAAGTAGAGTGAGTACATAAGTTTAACTGGGAATGTTGGCAAGAAACCTTGATGAATGTTTGCTTGGACTAGGTAAGGCCATGGAGAATTCACAACCTTTTCAGTAATTAATCATCATGCAATCTAGCAGGCTGTTAAAATAAATCTGGTTTCCCACACCAGTCTTCCCCACTAGACCTGTTTTGGAGACTTGGAATTTCCCCAAAAAGCCAAGGTCCTATGAGCATTCTCAGAAGATGTCAATTATTCGCTGTTGGCTAAAGACAGTACCTCTAGCAGCTCTAAACATTTTTCAAATTAAGTGAATAAAACTAGTTTTATTAGTCTTAATAAAAAGTAGTATTTTGGTTTCCTTCTTTGCTTCAACCAAGCAATCAATCAGAAATAATATTTGTAAAACATTCTCTTTTCCTGCATACCTCTTTTGAGGTATTACCTCACAACAGATCTGGTGAAGAAGATGTTATTAATATACTCATTTTACAGAGCTGAAGAGGAATGAAGTAAATTTCCTGTATCCTAAGGGTGCAAATGCTCCTTAATATTTCCCTGTAAAATATTTTAAGATTAAGCTTATAATAGATAGCAAGGACTTTGAAGATCTTACTATTAAAATAATAATCTATAATTATCTATTATCTATAATAAGATCTTATTTTTATTAAAATACTTTATAACTAAGGTGTACTATCAATCAACAAAAATTATTTAGTGGCAAGTCCAATGATATATATCTATGCACAGAATTAAATAATTGTCTTTGGCCTCAGAAAGTTTACATCCCATTTAAAAGGCAAGTTTGTGAATGTTCTGTGAACCCTTAGAGACATAAAGAATAATGAGAACTGGCCTGGTCAGAGAAGGCTCAGCCAAGATGAAATCCAAGTGAAAGTGGGAAGGATGCCATGGCTGTGGCTAAGAAGAGGAAGCAAGGGCAGTGGGGAGAGGGTAAAGGAGCCCATGACAAGGCAAGAGTGTGTTCATGTGGAAATCAGGAGATTAGTCAGAGAAGTGGCAAATGTATTCATGCAGCATTTAGCACCAGACCTTGAATATAAGAAGCACATAGGAAAGAAAAAGATGAAAAGTAAAGCTGAGTCTCAAGCAGTGAACAGTCATTCCCTAATCTATCAATCAGATAATCGCTGCTTCTTCCGCAGAAGGCAGAAATGTCTTCCCAGTACTTCCTCAAGAAAATAAAACTGTCAGCACAAGTTCCTATTTTTTCAGGAGAAGTTCTAATATTTTTTCGATCTTATGACAAAGGCAGTCATTGAAAATTTTCGAGTAGGAATTTCAATTTAATTTTAATTGAATTGAAATTTAATTTTGAAAGGAAAATGAATCTGGCTGTATGAGACTTAGGTAAGAGTCATGGGAGAATGACGGTGAAAATAGCTAGAACTCAGGTGCACGATGCAGGTAACAGAAAATGAGACCCAGGAGGGAAATTTTGAGTGAGAAAGAGAAAAATAGTCACATAAAAGAGTAACTACATAGCTCAAAGTATTAGGATGCAATGATCGATAAGATGAAAAAGGGACGAAAATATACCAGATTTTACTCTATGATTTAAAAAATCTTTTTAATGTTTATTATTTTTGAGAGAGAGACAGAGAGCAAGCAGGGAAGGGGCAGAGAGAGAGAGGGAGGCACAGAATCAAAGCAGGCTCCAGGCTGTGAGCTGTCAGCACAGAGCCCGATGCGGGGCTTAAAGTCACAGACCATGAGATCATGACCTGAGCTGTAATCGGCCACCCAACCAACTGAGCCACCCAGGCACCCCTACTCTATGATTTAAAATCAGAGGAACTCTGAGGAAACATTGTAGTGACAGAAACAGAGATGAGTGCCAAGGAGGCAGTAGTACAATAATAATAGGACAATATTTTTCCTTCATCCCCTCCCATGTGAATGTGGAACAGCAATTAGTTTTTTGTTGTTTTCCAGCAGTTAACTTTTTATTCTCGTCCTGGAAAAGAGGACTTTCTATCAAAGAAGACAGAAGAAAATGTCTGGAGGTGTTAAGACGTAGCCGGTGTCCTGACCAGAACCCTGACCTCAAACTGAGCTCAACTCAGTTCCAGGACTGAGTTGAGAGTGGGTGGATGCTAGGGAAAACAAAATGACACAATTTGACGCAGGGGCAGGAACAACAAGCTACTGCCCTACTACCGAAGTGGGAGCATGCCTGAAGTTGGTAGTTATCATACAAGACTCTTTCCTTTTCTGCAATGCAATCAATCACCATCACATTTATCTCCAAATACATCAACCCAGTCTCCTGAACTTAGTCAACGAAGAGAACAGTGTCACAAAAAGAGAGGGATAAGGACAAGTGTTTGAAAGGGTTTTTGCAAAGGCTGTTGCCACGTCTTCCAGATGATTATTATCTGGTGGTCCTCCTAAAAATAAATACTAGCATTGAAATGATCTGCACTGGACGGGGTTTCTTTCCTTTTGTCAGGGAAAGGGGGGCAGGTAGTGAGTTCTATCCTGGTTTCTGTACATATGGCACGGTTTTACCTAAGTTCAAAAAAATACTTCGAACTCAGTCTAGCTGTTGTATTTTTCCTCGGTGTTGATATCACTTTGTCCCATTCAAAATTTCTAAATAAAACAAAGAGGAATAAGAGCTTAATACACATTGCACACTATTACCCTTACAATGTGTGTTGCTTGATACATATTTTGGCACGCACACACACACAGAGAGGCTTTGAGTTCGTGGCCTTGAATTAATGTCTGCCCCAGATGTTACTTAAGTAAGTTCTCTTAACTTCGACAGCCACCTACCTGCATTTTTAAATCTTGCCCCACAATGTACTACGTTTTCCAAGAGCACACGTCGAGAGAAGCCCATGAAGTGCATTGTGGGAATTGTAGTCCTGGGTGACTTTCTTTTCTTCCCGGCCCTGGACCCACGCTCGGATTCCGGGAGGGTTGAACCCAGGATCTACCAATTAGCTGGGGCCATGTCGGTGAGGCCGTGGTCCTACCGGGAAAGCCCGTGTGGGAACCTCGCAAAATGATTGGTCAATGCATGACCCCGGGGGCGGAGCAATAGGGTGGGCGGGAAGACTGCGACGATTGGGCACGGAGCCCGCGGCGGCGGGCGGGGATTGGCTGCGCACTGGGGCAGGGAGGCCTGGGAAGGGGCGGAGGAAGGAGACCAGAGCAGGAAGAGCAGCGGCGAGGCGGTGGCGGTGGCTGAGTTGGTGGTGGCAGAGGCGAAAGCGACAGCTCCAGGGGGTGGCAGCGGCCGCGAGAGCAGGATGCGAGTCCGGGTTGGGCTGACGCTGCTGCTCTGTGCGGTGCTGCTGGGCTCGGCCTCGGCGTCCTCGGGTTAGTATCCGCCCCCTCGGATTGGAGGCCGGGAGCCACCGCCCCCCGGCCTCCATCCCGGGGCAGGGCCGTGGGGGCTCAAGCTGGAGACTCCACTCTCTCTGGTCACACCTCGCACTAGCCTGTCACTCGTTGTCTTTCCTTGGACTTTGGCTGGCCTGGACTAGAGCGGGTATTTAGGGAGCTAGAGAGGGGAGGGAAAGAAGGGGCGGTCACCCTGCCCACACCTCTCCTCACTTAACAAACTTTAAGCGACTCCTCGCGAATGAGGAATTGACCCTGGAAATGAATCCCAACAGCTGGCTTAGATCCACAGAGGTACCTGAGCCTTTTGGAACTTCCTCGACTCTCATACAGATTATGTGCTTGAGATTTGTAAGTTAAGTAATTGACACACCTGGATCTATCACTGAGCCAGTGATCTATCACTGAGCCCTATCACAAGGGCCATCAAAACCAGGATGTTGACAGTGGTTTGGCGGATTTGCTTAGTACCTGAGGTTGTCTCTTGTCTCTTTGTCTATTTAAAAATGAAGACTTTTGATATAATTGTGCCCACTCTCTATCCCTTTTCAGGAAATATTCCTGAGGAAGTGGTGTTTACCTCTGTCACGGTGTTGGAGTTGCCCCATGTTTGTTGACAGTAACTCTATGATTTTTGAGAAAATTTAGTCCCTATAGATTTAAAATGTATAGCAACTCGTTTTCATTTTTTGGATAGATATAGAAATATGCCTTTGACTTGATTTTCCAGTTAGCTGATTGATACTGTGGTTTGGTTTTTATTTTTTAATAGTTCAGTATGCCTACATCTGAAAACTTCTATTTTGAAAATGTTGATAAAGAAACAGTGTTTCTAACTGTTGGTAAAGAAACAATTAGTACAGTAAAGCTTTTGAATTTTAATCAGTTTAGTTAACAAGACAGCTGTTCTGTGGCTTTAAATTTTTTTGGAACAAGGCAGGGTATAAATGTCAACTCTTTTTTTTTTTTTCAACAGAAAATTTCCCAGATGGTTATTTGAATCCCCAAATTATCTGTCCTAGTTGTAAGTCGATGCCATAACGTCATTCTGTTTCTAAAATGAGAGGTCTAAACCTAAAATTCTATCCATAATGTGGTTTGAGATACCATTTCAAAAGCAACAAGCATATGCTAGTTACTTAACTGCCAACATCATCCTTTAAGGTCTGCCTTATCCCCTTTTAGTGATGGTTTGTATTCATAACCCAATCTTCAAAAACTCTACATAACTCTTGAAGCCCTGCTTGCATTTATTTGACCAAAAGAAGTATGAAATGGAGCTGTTGAGTGTAATGGATAGAGTAACTGATGGACCTCAGACCACTTGCATCGGAATTCCTCTTAGGAGTTTGTTAAACATGCAGTTTTAGGTCTGGAACAGGTCAGCCATCTGTAGTTTAACAAAGTTCACAAGTGATTTCTTCACACTAACGTATAAGAACTACTTAAGGAACATGGTAAATATTCCTCTGAGTTCAGTCTGCACAATTTAAGGAAAATTAAAGCGTAGAAACATTTTCCTGCATCTTCCATTAAGTTATTTCATATACTTAGAGCTTCATGTCAGTGGAGAGGATACTTGAAGAAGTCATTTAAGCAACAGTTGGGATTCTCGGGTTATAATAGTTTATTAAGACTGAAATGTTGGGGCGCCTGGGTGGCGCAGTCGGTTAAGCGTCCGACTTCAGCCAGGTCACGATCTCGCGGTCCGGGAGTTCGAGCCCCGCGTCAGGCTCTCGGCGGATGGCTCGGAGCCTGGAGCCTGTTTCCGATTCTGTGTCTCCCTCTCTCTCTGCCCCTCCCCCGTTCATGCTCTGTCTCTGTCTGTCCCATAAATAAATAAAAACGTTGAAAAAAAAATTAAAAAAAAAAAAGACTGAAATGTTAAATCTTTGGACTGTGTTGGTGTAAGCAGAGATTTCCATTGTAGTTAAACTGTGCCAGAGCATTTCTCTGGCAGAGGCAAAATCCATGTTTAGCCACAACTAAAACCGTATAGATGTGCGTGCTGACAAACAATAAAGGCAGTACTGTACTCACATGAAGTGCAAATATGGTAAAACACTTGTGTGAGGTAAAGTTTTAGAAATTGAGTACGTGGCTTTTTAGTTGACTTTTTTATTCATTAAATTGCGTATTCATACAGGAAGTCCACCTCATTATTAGTTTAGATTTAAAGATTTGCTCCTATTTAAAACTCAAGTGTTGGGTCATAATTTCTGTTGACTTAAAGTTTGAATATTAGTGGTTACCTAGAGCAAGTTGCATTTATTACCATTTAGAATATAATCGGCCAACAAAGGAAATATCTATCCTGTCACTGTTCGTAGCTATTACTTCATAGCTTGTCTTAGAGGCATATAAAAATATGAAACTTTTATTAGCAATGTTTTCTTTTTCCTGTGAATAAATAAAGGAGGGCATTAAAAAGGCATTTCTCCTTCATTCTCTTGATAATGAAAAATGCTATAATTTTTCTCACTTAGAAATACATGTTTTCTTGGGTTGCCTGGGTGGTTCAGTCAGTTAAGCGTCTGACTTCCTCTCAGGTCATGATCTCACTGTGGGTGCAAGCCCCGCGTCAGGCTCTGTGTTGACAGCTCAGGGCCCGGAACCTACTGTGAATTCTGTGTCTCCCTCTCTCTGCCCCTCCCCTACTTGTACTCTGTCTCTCAAAAATAAAAACATTAAAAAAAAAGAAATACATATTTTCTTATTTTCAACAGGAAGAGATAGTTTACTTTTTTTTCTTTATGCCAACAGTGTTACAGAATCTTTTAAATTAGATCCACTGCTAAGTGTTTCAGATAATAGTTCTATTATCATACTCAAAGAGTAAATTTGAGATTGCAGAGGATGTTTAATTTCATTGTTCTTTTGTTCCTTAAAACATTGTGAGTCAACGGGGCAGGTGGTATTACTCTCTCTTGATGCGTTGAGAAAAAGGCTAAGGAAGCTTGCTGTATTGAACCATGTATGTATTAACATGTAATGAAGGCAGGTTTTGAAGCTAGCTCTCCAGGCCTTGATTTGGGAGTAATTAAAATCAGGGGTATTGTAGGATCTGCACAGAATCTGTGGCAAATCAGAGAACAGGATGTCTGCTGTCTTTCGCCAAACTCTTAATACTTTCTATGTTTGAAGGTCCATCAGTCTGTTTAGTTTACATAACAAATTGGAAAATGAATCTGTGATGATTACTTTTCCCTGAAAGAATATCCCTGATACTTTTTGCAGTTTGGTTAGCTGATATAATGAAAATGAAAATTGGTCTTTTTCAGAGGAAGGTGTACAATTATTAAAGTAATGTAAACCATTATATTTTGGATGTGTTGCTATTGAATGAGAAATGTGTAACTCTTCGTTGAATTCTTTTGCATTTTTTTCTTGCTGTCTGTGTTCTGATAAAAGCATTATTATTTTCTTTTTATTTATGCATAACTTCAGTGTCTTTAATTGTTACCTGACTGCTATATGTGAGAAGTTTCTAGATTATAGCAACTTCTATAAAAGTGTTATGTGAATGGATATATCAGTTTGAAAGAGAAAATAGCTTATGCCTTAAGACTACCATCTGGAGTAGTCTTTCCCAGTTTAGTAAATGAGAGAGAGTTCTCTTATTTACCGGTAACCTTAGTATATATTCCTAGTTTGAAGAGAGAAGAGACAGAGAGAGAAGCATGATGCAATTCACGTGAAATAACCCTGATGTCACAAGTTTCCATGTCTCTTGGAGTTCAAAAACACATTTTGCCAGTCAAACGTCTAATAGCTTGTAGTGTCTCAAATGTACATATCTTAAAATTTATTTATAGGTGTCTGTATTATATACCTATTAGCTACGTATGTGACCTGTGTTGAGAAGGTACTAAATTTCATGATTTAGTGATCAGTAATTTAAGAGTTCCAGCTCATCTAAAGTTTCAGTATGTAGGTATATACTGTATATATCTGTGCATTTAATGACTGCTCTTGATATATTAGTTAATGTTTGTGATTAAACACATCCATACATACAACCTTTTTTTTTTTTTTTAATGTTTATTTTTGAGAGAGAGAGAGAAGGAGACAGAGCATGAGCAGGGAAGGGGCAGAGACAGAGGGAGACACAGAATCCAAAGCAGGCTCCAGGCTCTGACTTGTCAGCCCAGCGCCTGATGTGGGGCTCGAACCCGCAAACCGTGAGATCATGCCCTGAACCAAAGTCAGATGCTTAATCCACTGAGCCACCCAGGTGCCCCCATACATACAACTTTAATATATAATGAAGATGAATTTTTTTCTTTATCCAAGATTTGCTGAGAATGGAATTTGAACTGTATGTTAAAACTTGGGCTTTGGGTAAAACTTGTGAAGAAGTTAGCATGAAGGATGATTGTTCATTAACTGGCATCACTACCTAAATGTTATGGGCACTGTGGGACTAATGCATGCTATACCTTCCTCATCCCCACTCATCAGAAAAAAAACATATTTGGAAGGCAGTCTAAAAGTAGTTAATGTGGAAGTAGCTATGGTTTAAGTATGTGAATTGACAGCACTTTTCT